CTTCCAACACCCAATACTTATAAGTTGTGGTTGCTGCCCTACAAGACAACTTCTTCTCATTGACTTTTATACACATGATCCTTGGTCCTAAGATCCTTTGGTATCTAACGTACCTTGAAGATATCTTATGGTCCTTGGATCCTTTGACATCTTACTAACTATAAAGGTCTCCTATGCCAAACACTAATTACTCTTACATTATTTATGGATATTCTTTGGTTCATACTTTATCCTTTTGACTTTGATTCTTGATCCTTGACCTCATCCTATATCCATAGGATGCTCTTTCTATAAACCATGAGTCAATCCTTTGACCATTTGTAACTTACCTTAGATAATATCCTCCACAAGATAATTTATTCTACTTTTATTTTTACTTCAATAATTATTGTATAGATAATTAGAAGCATAGAAGTTTATAGAATTATGATTAAGTTAATAGACCACACAGGACCTACTATGGAACATTCTAGAAGAATTTAGGATAATTCTTTAGGTGGGATCCTCCATGGAACCTTCTAAAAAAGGCTTAGGATGGTTATCTAGGTGAGGTCCATATCTATGAACATTCTAGAAAATCTAGGATGGTAGGACAAGATATAAATAAGACTGGTGAAGGCCTTCTAGGACATCTAATTAGGTATGGCTTTCGATCCTTTCTCTTAGTAAAATTTGGTTCTACATATTTTTATTTAGATCACTTCTGTTCTGTTTCTGTTTGCTCAGTTTTGTCTTTAATGTCCTATTTTGTTTAATTCCATTTAATTTTGTATTGATCTATTTTGTCCTATTTTGTGATATGGCCTTAGTTTGTTGTAGATTGGTAGGATCTTGGATTTTTGAGATAGTCTCGTCATGTTTCATGTAGAGATATTTGTAAAGTTTATACAACTCATTGCGCGGCCACTCTTCTTTCATGCAAAGTTATATGCATTTATATGTGGTCATGTAGTTTTGCATGTTGCAGCATTAATATATCTCTATTTTTTTTTTTTAAATTATTACACTACAAGAGCTCATTTCAATTCATATTCCAAATGTATCTTATCTATTAGTATTTGGTTGTTGTACTTAGATTCTAGTACAAGAACCGCAACTACATACAATTGGAGCTCATCGATGAAAAGACATATATGTTGGTTTTGATTCATCAAGTATTATTTATATAATTATCCCATCAACTAGCATATTATTACATGCATATTTTCAAAATTATATTTTTAAAGAAAATATATTTTCATCTCTTCGAGAAAAAATATTTAATCAACAAAGAAATACAATACTTATATTTGGAGCACCAAAAATATTTACAATGAATCCTGATTCTAGAACATCTTTGGTTAAAAGTGAAGTTGCCATAATTTTATATCTAAAATGGATCGCAAATGAAATACTTGATGGCTTCAATGATATACCTCAAATTATAAGAGTTTTAATTAATGAAGCTCATAATGCACCTACTTAGATTGTAATATTATTAACAAATATACCTCAAGTTAAAACATTAGCAATTAAAAGGACTCATGGACTAGATAAGCAACCATGAAAGAAGAAAGCTATAACATGTGCTGAATGTGGTATTTTTTCTGTAGAAGTTCCTATTAAACCTACGAAACCATCAATCCATGCACGTTATACCTTCACCTCATACAATAAAAAAATCTTGAAATTAGGAAGAATAAAACCAAGATGAATACAAAATTATATCTTCTATATTGTGCTACTAATGACATTTGGAATAGACCATCTATTATAATAGATGAATCATTTGCATTCATGATGGGAAAAGCTCTTTCTTACAAGAAAGAAGATCCTGAACTTCAAACCATTCAGGAAGCAATACATCGCTCTGATTGGTTAAAATAAAATACTGCCATTGAAGAAGATTATGCTTCTTTGCATAAGAAGAAAGTCTTTAATTCAATTGTGGACACTCTTACTTGTCACCTTGTAGGATATAAGATGGTATTAGTATACAAGCAAGATATTAAGGATCAAATAATTCGTTATAAAACTCATCTTATTGCTCAAGGATTTACCTAACGGTTTCACATTGATTATGAATCCAGATATTCTTCAATCATAGATTCAATTATATTTCAATATATTATTGGAATGGTAGTTCATGCCACCTTTGAAATGTGTCTCATGGATGTGGTAACTACATATTTGTATGGTTTACTTGATGTAGATATTTATATGAAAGTTTTACCTACTTTGAAAATAAGAACTCCAAATACACCTACTCCAAGATGATATCATGGTATTAAATTATACAAGGCCCTATATGGTCTAAAATAATCTAGATGCATATAGTATCAACATCTCTAAGATTATTTAATTATAAATAAGTTTGTAAGTGATTCATTAATTCCTTATTTATTTATCAAATGAGATAAAATTGATTTTGTGATCATTGATATATATGTTGATAATTTTAACCTAGTGGGTACTAGATCTACATGCGTTGTAGCTACTAATCTACTCATACATGAATTTGACATAAAAATGTTAGAAAGAATCATTTTCTATATTGGTCTTCAGATTATGCATCTCACAGATGATAACATTCTTTTCTATCAACTAACGTATATCAATCAAATCTTATAAAGATTCAATATAATGGATGCTTATCGATTGTCCACACCAATGGTTAGACGTGGTCATAATGGTCATGATCCATACCATCCGTGTGAGCAAGAAGAGGAAGAAATTTTAGGAGATCAATATCCATACTTCAAAACAATTGGATCACTTTTATATTTAGCCACATCTACTTGACCAAATATTATATTTGTAATTATACTCTTACAAGATATAATATATGTTCAATATTATGACATTAAAATAGTATTAAATATTTATTACGTTATTTAAAAAGTATTGAAGATGCTATGTATTCTTAAGACATGGAGCCGCAAAATCATAAAAATCAGTGAAACAAACTATAATTGCAACTTCATCCAACTATGTAGAAATTATTGTGTCACATAAAGCATCTCGAGAACGTAATTGATTGCAATCAATCAATAAATTTATTTAGACAACATGTGGACTTTCATATGATGATTCTTCAACTATCTTGTATGAAATTATTAACTCTATTATTGTACAAATGCAAATTGGTTTCATTAAAGGAGATAGAATAAAGTATATTGATCCAAAAGTATTTTAGTTATATTCATGACTTGGTTATTGATGAAGTACTTAAGATCAAGAAAATTAAATTTGCAAATAACCTTGTTGATCTCCTCACTAAAGCTCTCCTTTTCTGCAACCATTGCCAATTTACTTATGGCATTGGCATACGGGGACTTGCTTTTCTGAAGCAAGGAAATTAATAAACTCTTAAAATAATGTTGTATTCTTTTTCCTTCATCTATGGTTTTGTTTTTAAATATAATAAGATTTTTTAATATAAGATTTTAATGACATAGCAATTGTTGATTTTATAAGATTACAAAAAAGTATAGATCATAATTCTATGCATATAAATACTATGACAAGCAAGGAGGAGTATTGAGAGCATTAAATGTAGCCGGCAATCTCCATGCTATTTATTGTAGTCTACAATATTTACTATAGCTATAGTGTTTGGAATGTAGTAGAGAGAAATTGTTCATCTTCTCCCCTTTTCTTTGTATAAGAGATATAACCCTATCAATAAACTCACTTCTTGTGTGTGTGTGTTTACATATGTGTGCATATTACTTTTAGCTACTCTTATTTCTCTTTCTCTAAAACATTCTCAACACAGTCAATTGCCTTTGGTGTTGGAGTGTTGAGATGATTGCTTGAAGTTGAAATTAGAGACTCATTTTTTTTGTCTAATATTGATGGCTAGGTTTTTGTTGTTGTTGTTGAAGTCTACTAGACTCTATACATTGAAATTAGTTTGATAAGAATATTGAACTACTGAGCCGTTAATTAGTCATAGGGGCATGTATTCGTTGCATTCAGTTGTTAGTCACCTTTATCTGCATACTTAGCAATAACACTAGACCAAATGTTTTGGCAGAGTTTAACAACACAGGGCTAGGATGTAAACGCTTACAGTTTTACTGTCTGTCAAGCTGAGAGCATGTATGCAGCTTAGCGAATCTTACCTTCAAGTCTTCGAAGAGTCAACAATGACTAAATGATAAAGTGCGTTGAAAACAAGCCTAATCCAGAAGAATGTAACAAGATAAAAAGTGTAGATTGTGGAGTTCTTTTTAAACCCCTAAAATACTAGGCGATGTCTTAACTGTAGAATTCCAGTGTAGATACAGATTGTACCATTGCGTTCTGATGTGTCGAAATTCATCAAGAGCCAAATTAGCAGAGACATTTGGGGGACAATTACATCCTCCAAATATCTGGCCTGATATCTATATCTGCTCTAATGCACACGTTGCAGGAGTGAAACAGAAGGTTCGATCAACAATCGATGGAAGGCTTGCCGAGCGAAATGATGCTCGTGCTGAAGTCCATCTCGAACATTATTGGAGTTCAGCACGCACTAAACTTGTGGACAGACTGCATCAAACATTGACACCAGATTAAAATCGAATACCACAATAAGAAAAAGCTACATTTAACACGTATGTTCACCGACGCATGACTGCATTAGCGAGGTTTTTTCAAAGCGACCGTTCAGAGATTTCACAGTGAATCGAAGAGGACACGCTCTCACCACCCTTATATCTATTTTAGTATTTCTATGACAAATATTATCAAACATAATTTTTACAAAAGTTGCACAAAATAAAAGTGTTAGGAACATGAGTAAAGGTATCCCAAATCCGGTGCACCACTTCATTCTCTCTTTGAAAAACCCAACCTCAAGTTCAATTTCTAATTCCTCAAATGCTCTACAGGAATGTTGCTAATCAAATAGAGAGAGCTATTCACTCACTCAATCACTCACTAATTCATCCATGTTTCCAGCGAACGTTGTTCGTGATTAGACGTGGGGCTGAAGGGTGCAGGGCCCAGGTCCAACGGAGGAGGGTCAAGTAGCGCAATGCCGTGTTGCTGATTGACCCCAGCAGAGGGTCGTGAAGATATGTGACCTGGTATCACCACATTGATATCTTTCTACGAAAGCGGGCCTTGATTTCTGAGTTCTTTCCACATCGTCACCGTCCTCGACACTGCCACCCACAAGCTTCTCAATCGTATGTAGACACCCTAATATTTGAAGAATATGTGTCAATTCCCCTTCATATCTTCTGTGTGCTGAGATTCAGTGCAACTCTTGAGAGCTTGTAATTTTATTTCTCTTTTAAAGTTGTTGTAATTTATGTTGGAAGTCTTAGGTTTGTTTGATGGTTTGTTTCTAGTGAAAGCGCACCTGTTCGATTGCTGGTGTATGAGTTTTTGTTGCTGAGGGACTGGTGAATCTGTGTTGAGGGGATTGTTGTGGTTTTGTAACTTTCTGTTAAGCTTACTTGGAAGATTTGTGGAGGAGAGATGGGGGGAGGTGCTCAAGAGAAGTTGCTGGATCAAATCTTCCAGCTGAAGTTTACGTCCAAGTCGCTTGTGCGCGAGGCGAAGAAGTGCGAGAAAGATGAGAAAGCTGAGAAGCTTAAAGTGAAGAAGGCGATGGAGAAGAACAATATGGACGGGGCTAGGATTTACGCGCAGAACGCCATTCGCAAGCACAACGAGCATCTGAACTACCTGCGTCTATCCTCCCGGTTGGATGCGGTTGTGGCGCAACTCAACACACAGAGCAAGATGCAGACAATTTCGAAATCCATGGGGTCTATCGTGAAGGCGCTGGATAGCTCCCTTGCTGTCGGTAACATGGAGAAGATTTCGCAAACCATGGACCAATTCGAGAAGACCTTCGTGAACATGGAGGTGCAAGCCGAGTTCGTTGAAAATGCTATGGCGGGAAGCACCAGCTTGTCCACGCCCGAGGACGAGGTTAATTCGCTCATCAATCAAGTGGCTGACGATTACGGTCTCGAGGTCTCCCTAGGGCTACCGCAAGCAGGCGCCACATCAGTGCCTGCGAAAGAGTCCTCAACCGAAAGCGCTGAGGATGATTTGAGCCGCAGATTGGCAGAGCTTCGGAACAGAGGCTGATACTGCGTATAGAAAACAACGGAGCCTTTCCTTGCCGACGAATTCCTCCCCTCACTGCGCGGTGCAACCTCCTGTTGCAGCCATTTTCTAGGGTTTCAGGTTTTATTCCGAGAATTCGCTATCTTACCTCGGAGTGAAACTTATGTAGCTTAAACATAGAAACTCTTACATATCCCTTCGCCCGTGCAGTGATCCCTGGTTGAGAGAAAAGCCAACGTATCAACGTCTACATTCTGTCCAAGAATGTGTCTCCCCTGCATCTGGTTGATTATTGGGATATGCCTTGCCTCAAGTAGCTTTGAGGTCTGTACATTTATGTAAGCGGTCTAATCTCTGGCCGATGTATCAACAGAGCTCTCTTCTTATTCACTGTCGTTCTTTTTTGCACCTTCCAGATACTTAAATTTGTGCTGTAGAGGAAGCTTGAATCGTGTAGAGGTTATCCCAAACTATTTCATTTTGTTGGTCATGAACAGGACTCAGATTTTCGTTTTTTGGACCATTTGCGATTTGCCTTGACACGTGATTCAAGCAGAATGCGGATGCAAGAACTACGTCGTGTAGCGAACCGATTCAAGTTTTTCCCTTGTCACTTCATCTGCGAGGTTTGTCGCTTGGAAACCTGCTGTAAACTCTACTTGTATTCTGTGATCTGCATTTGACTGAATCCAGTAGATAGTAATTTGGTTTTTGTAAAATTACGTAAAATGTGAAGCTTTGTGATTTTTTGTCCATAAAACAAAACTACTACAGTCAATTATCAATTGTTGTCTATTGTAAAATGATTTAGAACGCGAAACCAGTTTTTATTTAAGTTTCTGTATTACAAAGACAAGATTGGTGTTCTAGATTTTATTTATCCCTAACAGTACTCTATTTCTAAAATAAACTAACAATTATCCACTTTTATATCTAGATACCTATATATATATACGCATACATACATACGAACTTGAAATTCTAATGAAATATTAGCATAAAATGAAACTGAAGTGATTGTATTTACTACTTGAGTAACCTATATTTGATTGTGTAGAATATTGTTTGAGATTACAAAATAAGGGGTGCTTTGGAGGACGAAATTATTTATTCAATTATGATAAGCTAAAACTGAAAAATGATAATTTATTTAAATGGTACAAAAATTAAAATTCTAAAAATGGTAATATTTGATCATTTTAGTTGACTTTAATGAATAAATTGCATTTTATGGATATTTATATATACCAAATCCTGGTTTTTAAATATTGAAATTATCATAGATTCAAATCTAGATATAGCATGATTTAAATGTATTTGAAAAATAACCCATATGATATTAATGGATGAATACATGTATTTGTCTTTGTATATATATATACTTAAAATAGACCGGAAATTTACACTCTAAGAAATGGTAATATGAAAATTATTATAAATAACAAAAAAAAAGAAGGAAAAAGAAGCTCAAAAATCAAGTTAATTGGCAATATTACTTAATCTTAATTGAAATTTAATAAAATACATTAATTGTGAATTATAAGATCTGGACCAACTTAATTTTGTAAAACATTACAGAATTGCAGGTGAACAGAATTCTCTTATTCTAAAATAACAAATACTAAATGATTAAAGATCTATGCTATATATATATATATATATATATATATTATTAAAGGGTATTTCAACTATCATTAATATTAAAATCTGAATAGAATTTTGACATTTTTAATTATTTTCAATTCTTAGGAGAAAAAATATACCCATCTATTTTTATGTATCAAATTTGGGCTATATATTTTTTCAGTTATCAGTATTTTATGTGTATATAGTAGAAATAAAGAACAAGAACATTTAACCTGATCTAAATGTATTCAAATTGTCTTTTCGAATTATTATTTTTTTGTTATTTGAGAACAATTGAAATAAAACATGATATCATAAATGCCAAATTTATATTCAATTAAGAGTAGTATATACCTATGTATTCATGCATACACATGTATAGACCTCAACATAATTGTTTATTTATTTTGTATTTTGATATACATATATATGTGGTGTTTTTTGAATTATAATAAAATTCTGTATATATCACTTCAACTTGGAAATAATCTACAATTTATAAATTACCTATAACCGCAAATGACATATTACTAATCACATATTACTAAGTTTTAACAATAGAAAATATAATACATATCATGAATACCTAATCAAAACTTTCATATTGTATTAAAAACCATAAATTGTCATTGTGTTTATAATGAGATGTATAAAAATATTAAAAAAATTAAAAAGACAAATTTAGAAAAACTGCTACCATAGCACATTAGAACCACATTCCATTAAAAAAGAAAATTAAGTCATTCATTCCAGAATGCCCGAAAGTAATTTCAAGTAACTAAACCATCAAAATAATTTTACCATTCTTAGTCTATGCATCCTTTTATTCATTCTTTTATGGCTATTTTAATCTTAAGAAGAGGAAAGCTGTGTAGGCTAAAACCAAAGCAGGTTCATTAGAATAGCAGTAAATAAGAGTGGTAGAGAAAGTCTACTGATGGAAATTGAGAACATATTTGCTGGGTTTCAGAAAGTGCACAAACTTAATCAGCATCTTCATAGCATAATTAGTGTGGCCAAAGAAATAGTATCGAGCGAGTGAGGTCCAAATGCAAAAAGGATCCAAACAATGCTATACTGAGACGAGCGACCCTTCCAAACCCTAATTGTCTGATTCCAGTTCAGAGCTCCTTCCCGTAGCTCTGTGATCCATCCTCTTCCAATGCTCGCAGCTGCTTGTTACTGATCGCGATGGCGCCCCGACTCGGTGACGAGTCTAGTCTTCCTTGAGATTATTTCTTTCCTTTTTTATTTTTTGATAGCTGTGTTATCTTATTTGGTTCGATTTTGAAAATTATACCGGAACCTCTTCTTTCGGGAGATTGTCGATTTTGTCTGTGTCTGAATGCAATGTTTAAGACACTCACGCGCAATTGATATGCGATTTTGCTTGGTGTAACTAAAAGTAGCTCTAGCTGAGCTTAGTTAGCTGCTAAACAAGTTTCGATTCTCCTTTGTGGTTGAGCTGGTGGTTGTGAGCTTCAGAGGATGGTTTAGATGATGAATTCAGATAAGGATTCAGAAAGATTTATGGTTCTGACGGTGTTGACGGACCTGAGAATGCAGGAGGCGATGTGCCGTTCAAATTGTCATTAGCAGGCTATGGAGGGAATCTCAGCGTGGTTAATTTGCCGCCTGTTTGTCGAGACTCGCCGTTTAGCAATCTCCCAGACCTCGTACTTGTAAGAAACGTTCCGAATCATTTCGCTAAAGCTTAAGCTGTGCAGTTTTTGCGCGATTGCTGTGTGGATCAGTTGTAATATGCTGGATTTTCTGGTGGTTGGTTGGTGCTTGAGAACACTTAATGGCGAGTATTGAACATACTTGATATAAATCTCTTTAATAGTGCATTTTGCAATTAGGTGGACGCTGCATTTCCTGTATGTCAAGGATCATCTTGCTGATGATAAGGTCATTGCGATAGAGTATGAATCGTGTCTACTACGATTGAGTTGTTTTGTTTCAGATGAGCGTCAATGCTTTTTGTAATCTGACGACCCTTCATAGATACTCCGTCGCCACCGATCTATTTTTAAAATTTAATTAACTAATATTTTTCACTGTAAGACTTGAATTTTTAGTTGTGAGTGGAGGTTTTCCACTCTTTGTCGGATGTATCGTAATGTGTTCGTTCTGTCTGCAGCCTCCCCCTTTCCCCCCCGAGACACGAGAAAGTGCGCTGAGGAAAATCGAAGAGCAATATCTCACTCCCTGCCTGGATGAGGCAGCTAGTGATGTTGCGCTCTGCGGAAAGCAATGGGATTTTGACTGGTTCGGTGAAGGTATGTTTATTAACCTTGGACAGAGATGGTGTGCGTTTTATTTTTATTATTATTTTTCTATGCTATGCTATTATCATGAAGTTGTTGCTCGACAATTTTCAATATAACACACTTGTATATATTCTTGTTTAGGTGTTCAAGAGCTGCAACCTTCATTGCCTTGTCTGACAATCGAGCCAGTCTGGGAACCACCCTACACACGTGGACAGGGCGATGTCAGAAATGGACATGGAGTCGAGGACTGGATACCAGATTTTGAGCAAGTTAGTATTTCTCATGCCTTTCAAAGTTGTACCAGTTGCTTTGGATGTGGGAGCTTCATGGAGTTCAATAGACATTCGTCGGAGTGAATTACTAGTTAATTTCATGTCTGTAGTTTATTGGGGGCACTTTCGACTGCAAGATTTGACTTGGAGTATTGTGATTTGGAGTACTGCATCCAGAGTCCCAGCATTTATTGTGTCTTTGTCGATTTTGGGGTCGGCATCAAACTTGAAAATCTTCGTTTTAAACATGTATTCATGTGTATATCTATCCCAACAATGATTTGAAGTTACTCTTTACGTAACATGATGTTATGCCAACCTTGTTATATGAGACTTTAGGATTGTCTGATTAACGAGGCACATAGATTTTGATTTTTCATGTGTTTATACGCTTGGTTTCTGATTCAGTCTTCTGATTCTTCTAGGTGCAAACTGAACATGCAAACCTCAACTCACGAAATTCTTCTTCAGTGCTACGAAAGCCAGGACATCCTGAGGACTTTGTGAGAGGGACCACGAGTAACCATCCCTTTCGACCAGGTGGTTTCGACCTTCCTCAAAGTTCAGGCAAGACTGTCCCTGCAGGGGCGTTGAATGGGGATTGGCTAAGAGAAGTACTTCATGGCGGCCCTTTACAAAAAGTCGCTCCTGGTTTCAAGCATGGCATAGATTTTGGATTGCCAGAGGTTAGCTTACTTTCCCTCTCAGTGCACCTTAGTTAACCTAGAACGAGGACTAACTTCCGTCAAAGATATTTGCAAAAGAACGTTGCGTTTTTATTGAGATTTCCTTGATCACACGTATGCTTGAAAATTGAGAACCGAAGACGAGTAGCTGCATGCTTGTTATTGTTTACAGCTAGACCAAAAAGTGACCATTTATGCACTTACCTTCAGTTTTTGAACACTGTGTTACTCTGCACTGACCTTTTAAGCTGTGGTGGTTGACGTGAACGCAAGATGTGCACATGTGCTAAAACTTTCTTCCTCTGAAAAATCATGCGCAAACAATTGATTTTTTCAACTTTGAACATGCGCAGCCATATATTGTTCGACAAGGCTGGGATGTAACAGCTGAAACTTCCAGATCTGCAGAAGTCCAAGAAAGCTCCGTTTTTAATCATGCAAGTGTTGCTGTGGTTCAATGATATTGTATTTCTGGTTCATTTCACATTTCATTTAGTATTCTAATTTGAACAGAAAAGAAAGCATTAGTTTTTGTGTGTTCATTTTGAATATAAACTTGAGTGCTATCCGATTTCATAGATCATAAGATTCCTACCAGTTAATAGACTAAAAATGTAAATCCTGCTTCTTCAGGATGGAGGAGTCTCACGCTTTGACGATCTATTCAAAAAGAATTGGGAGCAGAATGATGCTCCAGCTGAAAGCGACGAAGAAGGTGTGATTTGCTTATTCATTTGAATTTCATCGCAATACAGATTTTCAATCGTGCTAGTTTCATCTGAGAGTATGTGCTATTTATTTATTTGTTACAAAAGAATATCTGTTACAGGTTTCAATACAAAATAATAATGGTGATATATATAAACTTGTTTCTGTGGGGATCTATCATTCTTCCTGGAAATTAACCTTTGAGGTAACAGATTCGAGCTAATAGATGATAGCCTTTTCAATAACATTTTGCGTGTTGTGCCAGTGCAAGAACTCGACAAGGAAGCTAGTGCAGTATATCTGGATGCCCAAACTGAGAATGGGCACCAGGCTATGCGGTATGAAGAAGTGCTATTAGACGAAATTCTGGGAGATCCCAAAGTTGTAATTAAATCTGCAAAGGCCCACCTGAAAATGTCACCAAACAGAGAGGTATATAAATTTATTCATAAATTTGTTCTTTTTTCTGCTTTGGAATATGGAAACTTCAATTTCATTTGTCTTCTATTATATATATAACATTTGGTATTTGGATATGTACTTAGATGTATTTAGACATGTACCAGCCCTCTCTAAAGATTTTTCAGTTCAGTTAAGGTATGTTTTGATGCTAAGTTTTATAGTTTCTTATTTGATGGCTTCGACCTCTTTACTTGAGTTGCATGTTTTGTTAAACCCGTATACTTTCTATAATAACGTTTTAATAAGGTTTTCTTCTTCAATCACTGGCAGGTAGTGATGATCTCTTGTCCATTTGAATTGGACTTAGGAGGGTTATCATGCTCTCCTGATACAGGGTGTCGAAAATTGTGAATGTACAATCAAATTGCATTTGACATTTAGGGCATGCATCAGGGAATTGGAAATCGCATTACACAGATATCTAATTTTTTGTGTGCAGGTCTGGGCGGTGATGGAGCCTGTTCCGAATATTTCTCAGCGCTTTGAAGAACTGGTGCCAGACCTTGCCCTCTCTTTCCCCTTCAAGCTTGACACCTTCCAGAAAGAGGTATATTGATTCCATAATTTTCGTCTGCTGCCACTCGAACTTGGGTCTTGGAAAATTGTCTCGAGAATAATGCACGGTCTAATCAGTGTTATACTTTTCACTATCAGTTCGATTTATCATACAACGTTGTATAGGTGTGCTGTAGTGGAAGTAGTAATGTCAATTTGTTCTGATATTGAACAAATCTGTACTAACTCGTGTGCAGTAATTGGTTGATATTGATAAGTCGATCACAATGATTAACTCTTCAGCTAGATTGATTGATTGCACGAAAATGACCGAGATACCAACTCTTCGCTTTTTTCTTTATGTCTAGCCAGACACCCACATCCTTTTCCGCAGTTTTATCTGCTTAAAGGTGTTATTGTACAACTCTGCAGGCAATTTATCATCTGGAAAGAAACGAGTCAGTATTTGTAGCAGCACATACATCTGCTGGAAAAACCGTTGTTGCTGAATACGCTTTTGCGTTGGCTGCTAAAGTGAGTTGATTTTGTAGAGTGATACTCATTATTCAGTTTTTGCATATTTTGGTGTGAATGATGCACGTATGGATTGGTTGCTTCAATTCTATTAGGCATCTACGCTGGGTAAGTTTTCTGCAAAGAGATCTTGGTAGAAATGGTAATTATATAGAATCGGATGAGCTGACATGAATATCTTAGGTGAATTTATCTCTAATATATGCTTGACGTTGATGATGTGGCTCTGTTACGCGATCATAGCAATGTACACGAGCAGTCTATACCTCTCCCATAAAGACCATCAGCAATCAGAAGTTCCGAGATTTTGGTGGAAAGTTCGATGTGGGTCTGCTGACTGGAGATGTTAGCTTGCGGCCTGAGGCGTCTTGTCTCATTATGACTACAGAGATTTTGCGCTCCATGTTGTATAAGGGTGCAGATATTATTCGAGACATTGAGTGGGTACACTTCAATATACTTAAACTGGCAAATTCGCATGCCCTCTGTGAACAGGTTTTTGTATAATATCGTTGTCCGTTTGAATTGATTATTCTCCTGTGTCTTGTATCTGCTTTACGGATCATGGTTACTTGATAGTAGCCGATTATCGAGTCTCTATACCTTTAAGTCTCCAAAATCTATTTGTACTATCTCTGTGCATTGTTTCGAAAGTATTCATGAGCTAGAGAGTGTATCGTAAGTGATTCAACTGCTAACATCGTTGACCATATTCACTTTCTTGGATTTGAGTCAGTTGACTATTATCTGGATGCTGGATGAAATAAAACCATAGATCATGCTAGTATAAATCTCTTAACTCAGATCCTGTAATCACTGCAGGTGATTTTTGACGAGGTACATTACGTAAACGATGTGGAGAGAGGTGTGGTGTGGGAGGAGGTGATCATTATGCTGCCTCCTCACGTTAACTTGGTTCTGCTATCTGCTACTGTAAGTCTCTTAGTATCTCAGGACCATCCTTGGAACTTATCCCTTTGTCTCCAACCTTGAATCCTGCTGGTGAACATGTTTGCTTGAAAGCAACGATTAAGATCAAAAATTTGATTTTTTTTTTTTTTCTTTTCTTGTAGCTTTTTAGTTTTGAAGAGGATGATTCGTATATCAGATTTTTAGGAGTAGTATCTCTTGCTTGATATTTGTCAAGAAAGAGAGTTTTTAGAGCTCATTCTTCTACTGCGACGTAATGCCAAAGAAGTGCGACTAATGGCATTCTTAAATTTTTAATGCCAGGTACCAAACACGTTTGAGTTTGCAGATTGGATAGGCAGGACAAAAAGGAAACTAATCTACGTAACAGGGTAAGGGTCTTTCGCTATTTGTGTAGTGCTTGCCATTGTTCAGTACGTGGACAGTGACACATGTTATTGCAATGTTGAAGTATTACTACACAGGGTAACATTGGTGATGGTTTAGAGGAATGATAATAATTATCTATTCGAGAGGTGTCTCATGGCAATATCTATTTTTTTTCTGCTGCAGAACTATGCAGAGACCGGTTCCATTGGAGCACTGCATATATTATGGAGGGGAGTTGTATAAAATCTGTGAGCAATCAACGTTCTTACCTGAAGGTATTAAAGAGGCTCAGAAAGCTCATCTTGCTAAAACAACTAAGCAGGCATCTGCAGGCTCTAGTGTTGGAAGTGCTAGTCAAGGTCGTGGAGGGGGCACTCATGGACGTGGGGGAGGTCCTGCTGGTCGTGGTGGCAGTATGCCAGGAAGGGGAGGTGACAATCAAGGAAAGGTTGGGGGTCGCAAGGGACCTACTTCAAAACAAGTTGCCCAGGGAGCAATTCAAGCTGCTATGCGTGGGGGTGGCACTGGTTGGAGGTCAGAAACCTCACAGTGGTACACACTCATCAACAATCTCAATTCGAAGGGGCTTCTCCCTGTATGTTGATTCCTCACCTCTTATCCAACATCTGATCTTCACTTTTCACTACACGCGGACTGTCTAGCTTTACCTTAGCTCTTTTGTCATCGTATAAGTCTCGTTTGTCATAACCTAACGATGTTTCTTCATACGTGTGTGTATTTTGGCAGGTTGTGGTGTTCTGCTTTTCTAAAAACAGGTGTGATCAGTCAGCTGATAGTTTAAGTTCAATTGATCTTACTATTCAGAGTGAGAAGAGTGAGATATACATGTTCTGCCAGAAAGCATTTTCTCGATTGAAAGGGTCCGATCGGCGACTACCTCAAGTAAGGATATAAACAATTCATTCTATATTCACATGTTTCTTTGCAACAATATCTTTACTGTCGACCATCAATGTGTCAAGATGAGAATCGTCAAGCGGAAACTCATTATACCTTTTCATGCTATTCAATTAAGTTTCTTTCATCTTCCATTGGCATTGTTTGTGGAATGGGCTAATTTCCTGGTATATAGGTTGTGCGTGTGCAAGAGCTGCTAAAGCGGGGTATTGGTGTTCATCATGCTGGTCTATTACCCATAGTGAAAGAAGTTGTAGAAATGCTCTTCTGTCGTGGTGTCATCAAGGTTCTCTCTCAAAACTTGATCACTTTTCGATTAAGTGTAAAGCTCTTTTGATTAGACACTGCAACGAAGGGTACTGGTAGTTTCTCTCATGTCGTCCTTGACCTCAATGCAGGTCTTGTTCTCTACAGAAACGTTTGCTATGGGTGTGAACGCTCCAGCTCGAACGGTACGCAAAACTATATAATTGCATCTCGTGTTATTTTGTAGGATCAAAATTAAAATTTCCATCTTCATATCCGTGCTTGACTAACCTGCAGTGATGGTCTAGTATTCTTGAATTGCCTTCACATGTTAAGTTGGCCGTTGTGCGTAAAATGAAATGGTTTTTAGCCCCTAGCAGGTGAGTTCGAGGGTAGTGTACTTGGTGTTTTTTTCTTCTTCTGAAGCGCTCCACCTTGAGCCCATAATTAGTTCATGATTATTTGCAGGTTGCTTTTCATAGTCTCCGAAAACATGATGGCAAGACATTCCGGCAAATCCTATCTGGCGAGTATACACAGATGGCTGGGCGGGCTGGTCGGCGTGGTCTAGACAAGGTTCGGTTTTGCAATTGAGTTTGATCTCTTCTGACTATTTTCATTTGCTAGTATGCTTAACGTTCTACTGAGATCATACGCGTTCTTGCCTACCAACTTGTCCCTCTAATGTCATTCTGCGCTTCTTCGCTTTGTTTACTAATCTTGACGTTACTCTTGTTGGTAGAATTCTTTAGCCTTACCATTACTAGTATACTTTTAATGTAGATTGCCACATTCTACACGCCAGTTTCATCTCAAGGGCATTTTAAACTCAGTGTTTCTTTCAGTTCTGACTCACTGGTTACCTGTTCGGATACTTAGGTGGGCACCGTTGTAATAATGTGCTGGGATGATATCCCGGAAGAAGGGGATTTAAAGCGTCTATTGACCGGAAGGCCAACTAAATTGGAATCCCAGTTTCGTCTTACATATAGCATGATACTTAACTTACTTCGTGTTGAAGATCTTAAGGTGAGTCTTCTTGTAGATTTCTGGCCTGATTCAGAGCCTGCAATTCGTTGGGGCTTATTTGATTTGGATTAAATCTGTGCTACAGCTACTTAGATTTCTTTACAACTTCCTCAACATTGACTTGCGTTTGTGGGGCAGAGAACATCGCAACCCACTCCTTGAACTGAATGTTTATAGGCATAGTTGAAGACAATCATCTGCTGTTTTCAATAAATATTGGTTCAGACCTTAGCAACAGTCACAGTATCCCGATTTAATAGAACGCGCGAAGCCTTTCCAAACATAGCCACTTGTTACCAGTAAATGGCCGTGCATAGACTTCTTTTGATTAGGTTGGCTGTTTCTGTTGCTTGTTAACATGGCTTCCATAACCTTTCTCTTTTAGGTGGAGGATATGCTGAAGCGGAGCTTTGCTGAATTTCATGCTCAACGTTCTCTTCCTGAGCAGCAACAACAGTTACTAGAACGAGAGGGCGCACTCTCAAAGATGAACGTCCAAATCAAGTGAGCATCACTTTTCAACCTTATTACACGCGCTTGTAGTAAAACCTGGTAGTAGTTGTATTTAAGAAAAATCTTGAAACTGAAATTTGAGTAATTAGTTGCTTACAGAATCATCCTATCAATGCAGTTGTATACTTGGAGAACCTTCCATAGAAGACTACTTCAGTGTTTATTTGGAGTACGATAAGTTAGGAGACAAGATTCAAGAGGCTGTCATGCAGTCTAGAGGAGGGCAACAAGCACTTGTTGCCGGACGAGTGGTCCTTGTTCGCAACTCTATTGTAAGTATGATGCACTGTATGGTTGATTGTTGATGTTTTCTTGTATTATTTGATCTCTTACCCACTCTCCACAACCCTCCCCATACCCACTCGAAAACGCCACCTATTAAATGCTGCATTTTTAGATAAAATGTTTTTGTCTTGGTTTCAGGTACCCGTTCCCACTTTGGGAGTGATTGTGAGAGCTGCTACAGGGAACACAAAATTACCAATTGTCTTGGCAATTCATAGGGCTCCGCTCCCTGCAACGAGAGGAAACCCTGGTCTAGCAGCTGTCACAAAAGCCACCAATGAGCTTGCAAAAGCAGGATACTTTATCAGTAAAAAAGGGGGAGATAATGGTGATGATTTCTTTATGGGCATTGGTTCTCGTAAAGGGACTGGTGTCATGAAAATCTCTCTGCCTCATTATGGAACAGCTGCGGGATTTGGTTATGTGGTCATGGAAGTCGATAATCAAGGATTTCTTAGCTTATGTAAAGCAAAGATACGTGTTGATTCTGCTCGGTTATTGGAGGACAATTCTCCTGCTGCATACACGTCAACTATGAAGGAGCTTCTTCAACTCGAGAAAGAATATCCTGGTCAAGATCCTCCTGCATTGGACCTTTTGAAAGGTAAAAGTCGAGAAATCCTTTTCATTAGGTCTAGGTAGTTTTTGGCTTATTTATCATCTGGCAGCGAAGAAAGTAGTTCAAAAGAAGTTTGCTTTCATGATGATATGTCCGTGTCAGATGTCATGAATTGTGTATTGACAACACGGAAGCTTTTGTTTTGAATGCTGCAGATTTGAAGTTCACCGACTTTGGAGTGGTGGAAGCCTACCGTAAACAGCAGGCTTTGCTTGAGATCATGGCACAAAACAAGTGTCATAAATGTCCTAAGCTTCAAGAACACTATACTCTTGTGAAAAACCAGCACATATTGAAAGAGCGAGTCAGCCAGTTGAAGTACGAGCTTTCCGATGCAGCACTCCAGCAAATGCCTGATTTTGGTAAAAGGGTAAGGTGGACTCTCGAAGAAAGCCAAGTTTTGATCTGGCTCATTGAACCAGTTACAATTTTTTTCGACTGTCTGGGTGATTAATTAATGAAATAAACAAGTATAGTCATGGATTGGGCTATTTTTGTTTGCATCTGAAAGCATTGACGCCTACTTCACTGTTAGTGATGTAAAGGATGTCTTTCGATCTTTTATCTTCACTAAACACATTGTGTCGACTACCAAACGTGGGGGTTCAAAACCAAACCGCATTTTGCGAAAGGAGCATACAGTAAAGCATCTTTTTAATTTTGGGCCCTACTGTAGTGGTCCCAAACTTCTGGGAGGTGCCATTTGCAGACAACATAGATTGTTAATATGTTCGCGTCCTTACACATATGTGAGTGGCTTGCAGATAGAGGTGTTGCAAGCGGTGGAGTGCATAGATGCTGAACTCGTTGTGCAGCTCAAGGGACGGGTGGCTTGTGAACTCAACAGCTGTGACGAGCTGATTGCTACAGAATGTCTTTTCGACAATCAATTGGGTGATTTGACCCCTGCGGAAGCTGTTGCACTTCTCTCCTCTTTGGTATTTCAGCAAAAGGATGCTAGTGAGCCTGTCTTGACAGAACGCTTGGAACAAGCTAGGGACAGGTTCTACTCTCTAATTTATAATCTCTAATTGCCTGTGTTGAGGCTTGTTCGTTCTTAGTGCATTCGCTCATGTGACTTCTGGATATGGAGGTGGTTCAGATCAATCGGTTTAGTATCAATACGGTGTTGTCCATGTTGGCGTGGAGAAATATCGATAGAGTATCTCGTAATTGTTGATCAGGGTCTACTTACTCCTAATTACCATTGTTTGATAAGCAGGCTTTACCACACAGCTATTAGGCTTGGAAACGTTCAGAAGAGCTTCGATTTATCACTTGACCCGGAAGACTATGCACGTGCTAATTTAAAATTCGGACTCATGGAAGTTGTCTATGAATGGGCCAAGGTACTCTTCTCTGTAGTTTTATGACATGATTCCATATGTCTTTTTCTAGATATATGTATTTTCGTTCCAAACGTCGTACAGTATTTTTCGCATGTTTGAGGTACTAACTAGTTTTTTGTAATACACGTCGTTGCACCATTGCTGGATGCCTTGCCTGACAACTGTAGTCAGCCATGTTGTAATGTTACTTAGTAGGAAAAACAGTAGATTATTTTCCGGAGGAGTTGATTTCATCGCTCATGTTCTTGTCTAATGTTGGGTGTATAATTGATGGTGAACAGGGGACCTCCTTTGCGGACATTTGTGAAATTACAAATGTACCAGAAGGATCTATTGTGCGAACAATTGTTAGGCTTGATGAGACATGTCGAGAGTTCAGAAATGCAGCTCGACTCATTGGAGATTCTACCCTCTTCGAGAAGATGGAGCAGGCGTCAAATGCTATTAAACGCGACATTGTATTTGCAGCGAGCCTGTACGTCACAGGTGTTCCTGTTATATAATATTTTCAGAATTCATCACTTTTCACACCACTCATGTTTATCTTACGTGTTCCAATTCATGAGGGATATGAAATGCATTGATTTCTTGGAAATATTCATACAAATCGGTATAACATTAAGTGTACCGATATCTTGGAAATTTTACTCGCAACATGACTGGAACCTCTCATCATAATTTTAGTGGCGTGAAAAGGGCTGAAGGTGAAACTAGTCTAGATAACAAGCTTGGACAGGCCTGTACAGGCCCGAACCTGTTCATATTATACATGTTACCAAACCTGTTCATATACGTGTTACCAAACATGTTCAGAACGAGATTCAGTCTAGAATTTTTATTGATTACTATCTAGTGACCATGATTGGTAGTTGCTTCATCATACATTGGAGACCCGGTGCCATCGGAAATGGGCTCTTCAACCAGCCATAGGTACTCAGCGTGTTCCCCATGGGGATTAGAAATCCTGTCATCTATCATTCGCATTGATAGCCACGCCTCCAAGCGTCGAACCTATCAATTCCTTCACCATAAGTACCGCATGAATGATTCAAGTACCACATGAATTTTAATCCCGAGGAACCTTATTAACATTAACTTACTTCTGTAGCAAGCCTAACTTCACAGGTACGAGAAGCACAGGATTGAGATGAAAGAGATAAATGAGTGGGAATTCACCTCCGATAAGTGAACTACAACCATTTCTTGCCGCTCGTCGACAACCCAAGAAGGCTCCGGCGGCTCAACCTGTGCAGCGCCCCACCACACAAGGCAGATCAAATTACAACAGTCTTCTGCCATGAGTCCCCAAATTACTAACCTCTGTCAGTTCAATTGTTAATTGCCTGGACAGTTGTGTTTGCTTTGAAAGTGAAGCGGTGAGGAAGGACCATGACTAGTGGTTCGATATGGCACAAGGTGGCAGACGAAGAGTCATCAGCAACAATTTCGCTAACAGCTCCAAGGCCGTGGCTTCTGGCACCATAGAGACCGCTGGATCTGACATACTCGGGCAGAGGATACTCAACAACGTCGCCTTCCATAACCTCCCCGCCTGCTGCTACTGCACAGCATTTCCCTCTAAGTAGACAATGGACAATTCTCTTTCAGTGTAGAAATCGAACGCCATCACAGCACAAGAGTTTGTTAACCCTGTCGACCTTGGCACTAGAGCTCCTCGAAAATGAACCCTTTCTGACTATCTGCTGCGTTCTGAAGTGTTTAATCGAAAGCAAACAAGAATTGAGCGTGGACGCAATCAAACTCCCGAGGAATTACTGCTGTTTCCACTCTTGGCACAATATTAACAATTTTGGGGGTACATTCCGAACAAGCATGTAAAGAAACTCTCACCTTCTCGTCGGCTTCGCTGCTTGATTCAAGGAAATGGATTTAAATTCTCTCCTCCAAGACCAATCAATGTTGCAATGGGAATCCCTGTCAGAAACCCTAAAGTCTCTGGTTGTGCGAATTTGAAGAATCTTAGGGTGAGAATTCGGAAGCTGAGCAGCAGAGCAAGAAATCCTTTTCGTCATCAATGCGTGAGAATGCATGGATACATCAGGAACCAGCTTGCTTGCAACTCCTTGAGCTGCCATAGCCATAGCCGAGTGCATGAACTAGGTAGCAGAATTCACTTAGTTTTGGATATGTCACACTTTATTTGTTTTGTTTTGTTTTATTTTATTTTTGGTTTTACAGTTTTGTTCTATGGTAACAGAAAAACTATAAGTTTATTAATATTTTTTTATGAACTAATATAAATCTATTAATTTTTAGTGTAACCCCTTTTTCAAACCTTGTTTCAATTTCTTTTATTGAGAAGAACAAACTTTGCAATTTGTTGGCATTAACTTGGCTGAAATTCTTAAAGTGAAGCATTTTTAGATAATTATTAAAATTAATTATTTTATTTTTAATATTGACTGAATTTATCTTTATTCATGCACAATGTATTGATTGAATACAAAAGATTATAAATTGGATATTTATGAGATTTAAAATAGATGTGTGGTAATATCATATTTTAAAATAAAATAAACAAAAAACAATTCTTTTTAAAACTATAATATTAATCTATTTCATGGAAAACAAATTTGACCAAAGTAAAATTTTTAGAGTGTTCATCAAAAAATTAATGATTTTAGTAGAAATTAATTGCAATTATAAATTTCATCAAATGTTAAAATTCATTTTAGGGCATAGAAAGTAAAATCTTATTATAAAAATAAAAAATTTGGTTACAAGAAGAAGATTAAAGCCTTTACCTATAGCCAAAAATAATTAATCAATGATAATTTCTTGAAGACATAAAAAAATTTAATTCTTTGTTTAAGTACTTACTAGCACATCATTTTTTAAATTTAATTTTATTCAAGCTTTCTTTAAAAGAATTTTAACAAGTTATTGCAAATAAAAGAAGATAGGTTTAAAAAAGAACACTTTTTATTGATTTATGTGCAATATTCAATGCTTTAAGAGCCATGTACCTTGTAGTCATAAATATAATCATTCTATTTTCAGCTATGGAATCTCTTTCCACATCAATCCTGGATATTCTAAAGTCAATCAATTTAACAAAAGTATATTGAAAAAACTATTTTTGTATTTTCTATCTTTAAAACCAATAAGCACATTTTCTAACTTAAGATAATCATGGCAAACATAATAGATGTATTGTTTGTGGAGTTTTTTTAGATAGAACCATATAAGCATATCTCTTCATATATTGTACAAGTTATATAAATTCTAAAACAACTTTCTAGAATTTTTTTATTCTTTATTAAAAAATAATAATTACTTGGCACTAATTAAGTTCTCAATAGTTTTATACCTATAAATTTGTATTGTTCACTACAAGATATATCTCATCAAATACAATCATCATATATTTTTCAATATATTTTTCAATACCATTATTATAAGTCATCAACTAGTAAAATATTTTTGAAACATAATCTAGTTTTTTGCACTATCTTGTATGTTGATTTCTATTTAATAAATTTTTGTTTTGTTTGGTTTAGTTTGGTTTAGTTTGGTTTGGTTTTTTTTTTTTTTTTTTTTTTTTTTCCTATAAAATCAGCATTTTTTTCTAGAAGCTTCCAAGAATCCTTTACAGTCTTCTAAAAGCTATTGTAGTCATCTATGACTATCTAAGACATTCCTTAGTTTTTTAGAAATTTTTATACAAGAAGCTATTTAAACTTATTGGATATTCCTCAAGTCATTTAACTTCTTCCAAAAGCTTTTATAGGGCCTAGTTGTCTTGATATAAATAAGATGACAAGACAAAGAATACCTCAATTTTGCCAACATAAGTTTTTAAACAAACAAAATGTTGTCTTGTTCTGTCTTGATTCTACTATAATATCTTTTTTCTTTTTGTATGATTCCTAGTCTCTATATCCTTGACAAATATTTTCACATACACCTCTCTCTCTCTCTATATAAAAGTGAACTTGTCTATTGTTTTTATGCTCACAACAAACCACTAGTGGACTTGTTTTATTGTCCATGTATTGGACATTTTCTTGTAGAACATGTACAAGAATGTCCTTCCACATCCATTTCAAATCTTCTCAAATTTCAAAGCATAACAATACATAACTTTCTCTTCTTCTTTGAAAATTTAGATTAATGGGTTAGAACATAAGTCCCTTACATTTTATTAATGTTCTAGCACTGCATGATATCCTACACTTCATAAGAAATGATCTGTTTTGGATTTCCATATTTACAACCCAAATTTCATTTTCTTTTTATTTGATCTTAGAGGCCATTTGTGTACAATTTTTTTATTTATTTATTCATTTATGTAATTTAAAAGTGTATCTTTGTAACCAATGTATTTATGATATCCATACCTTGATTTTTTTTGAAAGAGAAGTTTAGGACGTATTTCAAATTATAAATTCAAGCCTTTAAAACTCACGAACATGCAGATTATCTCGAAAATCAGAACCGCTGAAGCCAGCTGAGGACTATCCTGAGGTGAGTTGTCCAATCCACGTTAAGCTTATACATGTAATTTTTGTGAGGACTACAATCTCCAGTGTGAAGATTAGGGCTACAGTGCTGAAGCATTCTAATATACAACATGCATGAATGCAATCACAGATGACATACAAGCTTCACTTCCATTTCAAAGGCCAACAAATGACAATATAAATGATAAGATCATGTCCTGTTTCTTTTGTGACTCCACTCTCTAGAACAATGAAGCAAGCACACAGATTTCTCCAAATCATACATTGAAACTAAATGAAGTTGAAGTAGCCATCAAGATGTACTGTTTCAATGGCTCAAAAAGTTCCATTAGAATGAAGGGGTCCAAGTATGATGCAGGAATCATTTCTCGCCACAAGCGGCATGGAAACCCATATAGTCTCCAGCTCTGTATTGGTGCCAGACATTGAAGCCTCCGAAGGTGGCCATCAGCAATGCGCTGACACCCATTACGCTACTCACTAAAAACACTATCACTGATGGACGTCCGTGCTTTACAATGGCCGCTTGTAACAAACCAATTCCCACACAAGACCAGAATAAGCACACAGCTCCGAACAGTAGTGCGAAATCCATCGGGATGCGGCCCAGCAGCCAAAACTGGAGAACTGACATGGATGTTGCAAAGAAGATCATGAAGGAGCTGGTTCCCGCTGTCGCCTGTATGTGCAGAAGTTCAAGCCAGTATTTAGGACGTATTTCAAATTATAAATTCAAGCCTTTAAAACTCACGAACATGCAGATTATCTCGAAAACCAGAACCGCTGAAGCCAGCTGAGGACTATCCTGAGATGAGTTGTCCAATCCAGAAGTTCAAGCCAGTATTGAGTGGAACAATCAGTTAGGTGGATCAGATTCTAACTTGCACACAAGAAATCCTCACGTGAGCTTTGAACTAGCTTTCGCTTGAAATCGCTGAAAATCGCTGAAAATCACAAAGAGCAGAAAGAAACTGAAAATCGAGTCGATGCTCGATAAGGGAAAAGAGAGAGGGACACATAAGTGGGTTCATACCTGTGGGTGCATTCCGACCTCCGTGAGCATGGGATTAATGATCATGCCGCCCCCAATTCCTAGCATTCCACCCAACATGCCCGCAAGCAATGCCATCAAGGGAAACACGGTGTACGCCCTTGAGGTAAGCATCACATCTACTTCCTGTCCAAGCATTTCGTAAATGTTAGGCACCATCGAGCATCTCCTCACTTGCTGTGCAATACATTCTGAACTTTCACACATTCCAACTCCTTGCCCCCAAAGGAGGTAGAATTCTAGGCGTTCCCCGAATTCTGGAAAGATTCTGAAGGAAAGATACCTCGTTAGACTCGGATGGTTTTGCGGCATGGGATTTCGAGGAATGCTGAAGCGCAATCCATGCCGTCAGACCTATTGCAAGCGGCAACTGTGATGCAGACAATAGCCAATACGCTAAACCGCAGGGTTTAACCTTCAGAATTCCCTGCGTCGACAACTCAAATATATCAAAGCCCATAGCCTCAAAAGATTTTTTTTTTGAAGTGCTAGAAATTAAAACAGCCTGCAAATTACAAAATTAGAGCAGTACAAGGCCTCGCCTACTACTGACAATGAAGAGGATAGTCAAAGGAAAACTTACTTCAGTACCCTCTCCTCCTCTTAGAATTTGCACCGCGAAAAATAGCAGCCACATCATGACGAGCTTGATAAGTTTCTGAGGTGGGCACTGTGCGAAGAGGCTGGGCTCGGATTGACCACCGAGGAGAGGCTCAGTCAGCCCACTTGTTCCTTGAATTCACGTTCAGAGCACTATCAGAAGCAAACACAATTAAGCACTAAAACCAAAGCCCTCCCAAAACCCACATGCGGATGCTGTCCGACATTGGTTCTATCTTGAATCCAACATGTGACGAAAAACAAACTCGAAGTACATATTTACTTTGGCCAGTTTCCACAGAATGAGCACTGACGATAGCTATCTTTTCTTTGGCTTTCGCAGCTGCCGCGCTCTCCTTCTTCCAACGAGTGAAGCCGTTTTGAATGCTTCGATTGGTCATGTAGAACAAGATAACAGTCAACACGGAGATGAGCAACCATCCAGGGAACGTGATGTTGCAAAAAACACCGATGCTGATGCCCAATAACATGTTGGGGTTGAGCAACAACGCCACATCGTAATCAATGAGAGGCTTCCCAGGAGAAAGTGGGTGCGTCCGTCGAATGTTCCATGCCAGCACTGCAATCGAGCCAGCCAGAATCATGATATTCGACAAGGCCGCTGAGGTCTTAGCATCGAAGAGAAGCAAAAGGTTAAAGATGGGAATAAACAATCCTCCCCCTCCGACTCCGCCCGCCGCGCAGATACAAGCTCCCAAAGATCCCAGAATTACTGCAGCCACCACCCGCGCATTCATCTCCAGCTTCGGCCAGTCCGCACCTCCGTCTGGCGGCGCGACACTTCGCATCCATGCTGTGGAATATTGCTCAAACAGGTCGAGACGCAACCCATCCCACCAATTCCACCCCACATTCTCCGACGAGACTCTCGAAGAATCATCACGACCACCGTCGGCAAGCACCGTCACAGCAGTCACGACCACGAGACACACAAACATCCAAGGAAGGCAGCCATTTCTGCTGCCAAACAGCTGCATCATGAAGTCACTGTCTTTCACCGGACGGCGTCAAGGCCAGTTGGGGGATAGCTACGTTCCAATCGGCAGCAACAAAAAGGACGATCTGACGCGTGGTCCTGAGCGCTGCTGTTGGCAGATCAACTATTGTAATGGCGATGCCCTCCGTCAAAGACTCGCACGCTAGATCCTGCATTGGTTGCCGAGGAATCCACAAGAATCCACAAGAATCCAGTTTAAATACGACAAATTGGCATCGTGCGAGAATAGAAACTAGTGGTACATACAGTGCATGTAGACCACTCTTTCTTAGCCCGACTCGTTTCGGAGCCAATGCGGCAGCTCCTTTCCTTCTTAATTAATTAAGCCCCATTCATGGAAGGGGCGCTGCTCTTCTATTTTCTGCTTTTCTGTTGTTAGTTACCCACCACAATATCATGAACAATCACAAATTTTTGTGGGATGTTAGAACTTTGGTATATGGTTTCATCTATTTTGTCTTTGAGCAACTTGAAATCATTTATGATCTATTCAACTATCCAGAAAGGATTTTTTTATTATCCTATTTTTTTCTTTATTTAATTTCCACAACATACACTTATACAACATACACTTATACTACATACACTTATAATAATGAAGTAAGACAAGAAATTTCCAATATAAATTTCAAGTAGGTTGATTAGTCTATTCTTCACTATTATTATTATTTTAATTATTTAAAGATATACACCTCAAAGAAGTAATGACCTTGTTTTGAATTTTTTGAATCTAAGAAAGATCTTTTCAACAAATATAGATTTTTTCTAAAAAATAAATTTCTAAGGTTATTGATATCTTGGACTTCTAGCTAATTTATAGAGAATCAATATTTTCCAATCTTATAAGAATTTTATTTGAATATACTTCTAAAATCCATATAAGATTATTTTTAAAAGTCCTTGTATATAAAATTGACACAAAGATGATGTATTCTTATTAGTTTTTTTTGTGGTATATAAAATAAATCATCATTTCTATTTTAAAATCAAATCTTAATAAAAACATGTTCCAATGGCCTTGGCAATAATTCAAAATATGTACTGACATAAAGTACTTGAGGTTCTTATGATTTATATATATATGGTGATTGAATTGAAAGCGCCTTCTAAGTAATGATATCAATCTTAAAATGAATCCATGATTATAAGAAGCTCTTTATTGTAGATCTCATAGTTAATCTTCATTGCTAAATTTTTTATTGAATAGAAAGCTATTAGGAGAGCTTATTATTTATTCCTATTTGTAACAATATAGTTGAAACTGGATCAATCTATCTTAAGAGTCTAAGATTCTTCTAATCCACACCTATATAAGACCTCATCACAAAATAAGACAAAAGACAAAAATGAGCAAATAAAAATGGAACAAATCATAAAGGAATAAAAAGATGCAAAACCAAATTTTACTAAGAAAAAATGTCTGAAGCCATACATAACTTGATGCCTAGAAAGCCTTGGCCAATCCTATTTATATTTTGTTTTACCACCCTAGACTTTTTAGAATGTTCCTAAATGATGGACCTCACTTAAATAACCACCTTAAATTCCTTCTAGAAGGTTCTATGGTAGATCTCACATGGTCTATTAACCTAGCCATAACTTCTGAAGCATGGTTCCAACTATCTGTCTTTATATGTCAATAATACAAATATCTTATCTATACCATGTTATAATTAATCTCCTTCTACAAATGCAAAACATCCTTGTTTTGCTTTGGATAGTAATTCCAAATTATCTCTTAGTAATGGATGAGGTTCTATGCAGGTTTCTACATTATATTGTAGATGGGATAACCTTTCCAAAGAACTTTATACTGAACTTGTGGACATCTATTGCCACAACAAAGATAGCGATGCTCCAAAATGTTGCTTATTTCATATTCTTGTTGATCATCAATTACAACTAGTGGTGGTGGTAGTTGGTGTCGATCTGACAAGCACTTTGGCTCAATATGAAATTCCTTCAGTTGCAAAATATAAAAAACTAGATGGACTTATATATGTGGTAGAAGCTCAAAGCAATATACAAGATCAGAAATCAGTGTAGAAATGCAAAAAGGTCCAAGCCATTGAGGTGCTAGTTTATAAATTTGGCTTGATGTAACAAGTGGTAATTTGGCATTGGACGGTAATACCTAATCACTCTTTTAGAAGGTCTTGTATTGCCAATGGCTATCCACATACTGCTTCTATTGATTTTATGTAATAAAGAAGTGGTGTTGTGCCTCTCATAAGGCCGTTGTAAGCCGTTGTATAAATTCCTCTATTGTTAGATTATTGGTGTCAATAGGACGATAAAAAATTGTTGGCATAATTAGATATTGATCAATGTTAAGAAAAAATAGTGAATGATTGATACTTGTTTGAATACTATCACTATAAGCAAATTCCAAGGACGTCAAGTATTCATTTCAATCATTATGATGAACTACTACAAATGCCCATAGCATATCTTCTAAGGTTCGATTTGCATGCTCTATTTGTTTATCTATTTGAAGATAGAAGATTGTAGATATGGCAAGTTGTGCACCTAATAACTTAAACAAAGCATGCCAAAAGCTTTTCATGAATCATAGATCCTAGTCTGAAATAATGACATGATATAATCTATAGTAATAAAAGACAATATCAAAAAAGACTTGTATAAGTCTTGAGGCATCAATATCCAAGTGCACCATAGCCAAGTGAAGTTGGTTCAAAAGTTGATCTACAAAGACAGCAACCATGGTGTGATTATGAGGCATCTGCAACAAACACATAATGAGATCCATAGTCACATACTCCTAACGTACTGTAGGTAGTAGAATTAGTTGCAATAATCTAAGAGATGCTACATTGCGTGCTTTATTACATTGACATGACTTATAAAAGTGCACAAAAGCTCAAATATCACAATCCAAACCTATCCAAAATCATATCGTTGAGATCTGTTCTAGAGTCTTCTCTTATCCTAGATGTCCATATAGTGAAATGTCATGTCTTTCTTGAAGTATGCACGTCCAAAGTACAGCATTGTCAAGTATATAAATCTGCTTCTTGAAATAGATCAAACCATCATTAAGATTATAATTTTGATATTGTATATTGTCCACCTTCAACTGATTACTAATTATCTTAAAATAAGTATTTCAATATATAGCTTCTTTCTATTCTGCCTCTTTGGTTAGGTTTGAAATGATATTACTAATGGTAGCAACTTCTGCATTGTTTCTCAATTTGGCCTTCAAGTTTGGTCTCCACAATAAGCTATGTGAGACAATATGTTATCACCTTTGCTTCTACTGAAGTTAAATATCAAAAAGCTGCAATTGTTCTTCTTAATGATAATGTCATGATTTCATATTTTTTAGATGTAAATTGTGTAGCAAGGATCAATGGTCAGTCCAAACAACCACTGGCTTCTTCAATAGATACTATTACGACATCAAGTTGAAGGCCCCTACTAAAGTCTTGTAAAAGAACTACTTCAATAACAAAGTTAGAAGTATCAATGTTAAGTATACAAGGAAAGTTGGAATCATACAATTGCAATATTAAAATAGTAATGAGTGTTTTTTTCAACCTATCAAAGGTACTTTGCTATTCAAGTTTCTATTCAAATGAAGCATCCTTCTCCAATACGTTTGTCAATGAGGTAGTAATGTGAGCAAATCATCAAAAAAAAAATGGCAATAATATCCAATAAGGTATAAAAATGAGTGGAATTCAAAAGCATCCTTGGAAGTTGATCAATCCTTCACTACTTTCATCTTATCTTACTCCATATACATGCCTTTGAAAGACATTACATATTCCAAAAAAATAACTTTTTATTCCCAAAATTCACATTTTGATTACTTCCAATAGAAGCGACTATTTTGTAGCCAACATAACACTTCTTATTGGTGTTTTTTATGCTCTTCAAAGATTTTACTACATGTAAGAATATCATCAATGAAGACAATCACATACTTATCTAAAAGGTCTTGAAATATCTATTCATGTGACTCATGTAAGAGGTTGGAGCATTGATGAAGCCAAAATATAAATTAGGCCATTTAAAATATCCATAGCGTGTACAAAATTTAGTCTTTTTAATATCTTTTCTTACAATAAGTATTTGCCAATATCTATTTTGAAGATCCAATTTACTAAAGATAGTCATATTTTAAAGTTAATAAAGAATATTATCCATACATAAAAGTAGATATGTATTTTTAATAGTTTGCTTATTGAGGCCTCAATAGTCAATATAAAGCTGAAGTCCACCATCCTTTTTGGATGCAAAGAATACAAGTATTTTCTATGGTGATATGTTTTTTTAAATGAGGCCCTTCTCCAAAAGTTTGTCCAACATTTGGTATAGCTCTTCAAGTTCATTTGATGCTAGTCGATAAATTAGCTGACTTGTTAGTTTGACTCTAGACAATAGTTTTATTTAAAAGAGGGCACCTCAATCAAGAAGCACGCCACTAAGTAGGTTGGTTGGGAAAACATCTTGATATTTTTGTATGAGTTGCTCTACTTGTTCAATTCCTTTGGTCATCTTTTCTAATACTGATGTAAGATTTAAAACCACTATATATATATATATATATATATATATATATATATATATCGATTGCTTATGCTATATTTTCTTCTTTATAAAGGTCATTCCTACAAGTAAATCTTTAATTGTAGATTACTTTTTTTCTTTAAATGATACAGAGGTGCAAAGAGTCACCTTGTATCCACTATCTTTAAAAGAGATTGTTTTTACTATTAAATCAATTTTCTTATTTTCTGCTTCTCATGATGGCATACTAAGGATAACATCATATCTTAGCTTTGTTATCATAAACATCTTTCTTAGGATGTAGATGTCAATTAATCTCAAGGTTTCTCTTGTACATGTTTCACTTAATACATTCTCTCAATTATTTATAGGATATATATTATCTTTGTTGATTACCTTAATTTTAATTTCAAGTCAATCAATAATTTCAATTGAGATGTAATTTTTTATAGAGCCACAATCCACAAGCATTCGATATAGTTGTTCTCTTAATAGTCTTGTTAGATGCACCAATCAATTTTTTTTGATAGTTATCCAAGGCTATGCTATTTGTCT